TTTGAGTTAATATATATATATATATATTATTTTATGAGGAGGTTGTTTTTAAGTAAAAAATAGTATGATCCTTAAAACATGCTTTAATTAAACAAAAAAAAAAACAACAAAATCATGAATCAATTATCTCTCTGAAATTCATAAAAAAATAAAAATAATAAATTTCCAAACAATTATATAAAAATTTATAATAAGACAATTAAGAAAAAGATATAGTTTAGTCTCATCTAATATTAATGAGAAAATATTATATAAAAATTTATAATAAGACAATTAAAAAAAAGATATAGTTTAGTCTCATCTATTTAAATATTTTTCTTATTAAACTAATATATAGCAATCGATATCATAAAGAAATCATAATCTTCTTTAAAAATGGCATGTTTCTTTATCGGCAATAAGTTTTTTTGAACAAAAGGTAGGGACAATTAAAATAAAAGCTTATTAAGATTCAAGCCATTTGAAATATGTAGGGAAAATATATCTCCTTATATAAATTTCATTTCATTATTAATGCATCTCTTTTATTATTTTAATAAAATCATGTTTTTTAATCTTAAACATTGTTTTTTAAATAAAAATCTTATTTTCATTGGATATTCATTAACAATTTTTTATTTTTATCTTTCATATTAGATACACAATAATTTAAAAAAATTGTTTTCATTCTTATAAAAACCTATAATATTATTTAAAACTATAAAAAAATTGAATAATGATTTAAATACAATGTTAATCTTTTTTTTTATAGTTCATTCAAATCAAGATCTAAAAATCATACTGGACAAAAAAAAAACCCATGGAATGTGATCAAGTGCTTAGGCTAAGGACCTAAATGCCCAGTCCAACATGAAAAATGTTTAGGTTCGTGTAGGCCTCGAAGCTTAGTTTGTGCAACTGGTTATATATATATATATATATATAAGGTTAAACGATCTTTTTAATTTTTTAATTTTAAATAAAATAGACAATGTATCATTTGTCAATCCAAATTTAGTCTTCATAGAGGTGACTGGAAAATTAGAGTTATGGATTTTTTTAATCTAAATATAATAATAAAAAACCATAAAAAATCCTTATCAAAATTCTTAAATTTACCAATAAATTTTTTTATCAGTATTTGTATTATTATTTCATTAGTAATAAATTTACTGACATGCTCACAAATGAAAATGCTCCGTTGATAAAAATCTTGTTTATAATTTTAGATTTGTTGGTAATAAAAAATTATTTATTATTGATGGATTTAATAACAGGAAAAACACGTAAAACAATACTCACTCTATTCCACTGGTATTTTCAACGGGCGCTTGTCATATAATTGATAAAAATATTATATTCAATTTTATTAGTAATTATTTAAAAATATTTAAAAGAATATATTTAACGGCATTAGAAAATAATCAAATTCATACAAATCAACACTTCATAATACTTAGGAACTGAGTTGCTTGGACAAAAAAGAAGAATAAAATCAACTTTTGCAACAAATAATTAACAAAAAAATAAAATAAACAACAACAACAAAAGATAAATAAATCAACTTTCTAAAATCTATTTTAGAATCGATAATCTAGCAACAAATAAAATAATTTAATTGAAGTTTGACAACAAAATTAAAAAAACAATTGATCTCATATGCAATACAAATCTTACAACAACATTTATACAATTATGAAGAACATAAAAATTTAAAAATATAATGAAAAACATAAAAAAAAAAAGAAGAAAAATTCTTACCTTAATGTAATTATGAGTGAAGTTAAGAAAAGAAAAAATAATTCATAAATTATGTTAATTAAAAAAATAAGAAGGGAAAAGAAAGAAAGAAAAAAGATATGTCTGCACATGGTGAAGAAAAAAAATAGTCGAGAATAGAATATAAGATAAAAGAAAGAAAAGAATGTTGATATTTTTAACATAAGAGGAGGAGAAGGAAGAGGAGACACGGCTATTATGAACTGAGGGATTATAGTCTTCATTTATAATATTTAATTTAAATTTTTAATTTAATCAAAAAATTTAAAAAACCCTCAAAATATCACAGATGACTTTTTAATTCATCGGTAATTTTATCTATAAAAAATAATAATTAACAGTGCAATTGATAAATGAACATTTCAAGAGCTCTCTATAAAATACTAATGAAATTAACTTATTGATGGTATTCTTTGTAATTAACATGATGAACAATTTTAAGGAAAAGTGAGTAGTTTATCAACGAGTTTATGGACGGATTTTACTGATGGTATTATTATCATCGGCAATTCTATCTGTATAAATAATACATTATCATATATTTTGACTTTATTTTAATTTTTTTCATTATAATTCCTTTAATATATACCGAAAGAATATTTTCATTAGTGTTTATTGATGGATATACAAAAAGAATTTTTTTGGTAAAATTCATTGCAATTTATCAAGATAAATATTTTATTAGTGTTTCTATTTGTAGTTATTAATTTTCTAATAATAAATTTAATAAATCAACTTCTACACTCAATACACCTATATATCTCTTAAAAAAAAAAGAACTACATAGAAATTCTCCTTTAAACCCGATCTACATTTTCCAGTGAGAAGAAAGCTAAATAAATACATTCACGTCTACTTTTATTAAAATAAACTCAAGATATCAAAATCGATTTTTTGATAGTTAGATTTTGTGACACACTATCTTTTCTCTCCTCTCTAGTTTTTCAACGACTCTCTCCACTCTCAAAGTCTAGGGACTGAAAATTTTAAAAATAAAGTTTAGTACTAAGATGCAAAACCTATAAAAAGTAGAGACTAAAAATAAAAAAAGTAAAAACTCCATGGATATAATTTAGTTTTCCATGCCAAAAAAATAAAAAAGGGTAACGATATTTTTTTCTATGTAATAATTGGTTTTTTTTGTTTCAATCTTTTTAAATTGACACAAGTAAATTCTATTTTGCAAGATTGTACATCCATTTACTATTGAATTACATCACAAATATAATGTTAAAGGCGAATCAAAATAAATTATTATTTTTAAAATTAAGTGTCTAATTATTATTTTTCTGAGTCCTCCCCTTCTTTTTTTTTTTTTTAATTTGTCATAATTTAGAAAATATATGTGTTCCCCAAAGTTTAAACCCGCAACCTTTGACTAACCAAGCTAAAGCATGAAATTGTTATAGCATAATTAAAAAATATATATGAAAAGTAATAAACACTGAAGCACCTTAAAAAATCAAGTTGCTTTAAAGTGTTTAGGTAATCGATCCTTACCACAAATCAAGATGTATAAAATTCTGAATTTATGCAATTGTTCATGAACAGAACCTGCTTGCTTATTGATCCCAATTGGATAGCATCAATTTTTATTATATTAATGGAAGCATGTGATTAAATCTTCAAATTCGTTCATAAACTCAAGAGAATGGGGCATCTCCCGTATTCTAATTCAAGTACGTGTGTGCAGTGTCATCATGCATGCATGTTGCAGCGACAGAATCGAACTGTGCATTAAGGAGACAACATATACGGATTTTTAAAAAACAAATTAGCGTAGTATACATAAAATTTAATGGAATAACATTGTTTCAAAGTTTTTTTATGGTAAAATAATTCAGAAATGTAACATTTATTAAAAGTCAATATTTTTAAGCGTGATAAAATAATTGATGTACTTCAACATAGCAACATTAAATAAATATCATATTTTTGAAACTCAACATAATTAAACTTCAATTTTTTATTTTAATTTTTTTATTTCAATTAGTTGAATCATGTTATATTAACTAATTAACCGTTTTATATAAAAATTATAATTATATAATTTTTTTTAAATATATTTTATGAGTTAAAATTATCTATCCAACTTAACTTATAAGATAAAAAATAAAATTTAATTAAAATTTTAAAAAATTATTCTTCACATAATAGTTAATAGTTAATGATTCTTAATAATCAGATATAAATTTATCTTAGCTAAATAAAAATTTATTTAAAATAAATTATATAAATAACATAACATATATATTTATAAATATATAAAATATGTCTAGACCCAAAAATAAAAAATCACATCATACCAAAATAACAACTTAATAAGTTGCATGGTTCTAGTGCAAGGTATTTGTCTTCTTTGTCGATGTATATGATTCTTCAAACCCAAGAAAACGCTGGGCTTTCCCGGAGTTAGCAATTAGTATGCAAAGTACCCCTAATAAAATCAGTGGAAAAAGGGAACTAAAGTTGGCTGATCGAAATGCTGATAACAAAGTGTATGATGGTCAACTCAGATAGAACTTGTCATACTTCCTCCCGGCAACATCAGAGATTAATTGCAATCAGGTCAGCTTGGCTTGTTGAATTAGCACAAGTATTTAAAACAGTGACATCGTTTATGTGGATTGGTTGTGAAAGCTTCATTTTGTCTTGCTTACTGTTTTAGATAATATTTGTTTGTGATTTGATTTGATCCAGACCGTTCAACAAATTATTTGATTCTGATAATCTAGAATTTCAGACCAAAACTGTCCCTTTTCTTTTCTTCTGTTTTCTTTTTAATAAGATTCAGTTTCTCTGAGCATATCTTCCTAGGAGAGAATTTTTTTATCTGTTTAATGTTCATGAGAATGATGTTTGATAAGATGACAGAATAAAAGATTCAGGAGACCTGTGGAACCAGATATACTATTAGCATACGAAACAGCTGAGAATCTACAGAATAAATAATTTGCCATCATTTTTTATTTATTTATTTATTTTCAGTTCTATTGTTCTGAAATAATTACCATGTATTTCTTGAAACTTCTTTTATTAAGGCTTTTTCAAGTAAAGTAGATGTTTTCCACAGAGTTGCTTCTGATGACTTGCCTGTGAAAATTAAACAACATTTTCATACAGACTATAAGGCCTTACTATAACGTAATAGGTTTACATGTCCAACGTAGAAATTTTCTATTGCTCTGAGAGCTTGCAGCATAAAACATGAGCAGTAGAGAAGTATGGCTACGAGGCATGATCTAGACTTGTGTTGATGGGGTTTCATCTACTGGCCTGGTTTCACAATCTTGTTTTCTACCTCTTTCACGTCTGCTGTTTTCTGCAAACTTTAAGCTTGATAGATGCAGGCCTTTCTCCTTCTCCTCTGAATTCCATTCGGACAAGTAGTAGTCTTCCTCTGTAGCGATCTTTGAAGATGATGGACCACAAAACATTCCACCCCATTGTGGGAAGTATATAAAACAAATTGGAAGAGTGCAGAATATAATCATGATACCCATGAGCATTATCCCTGTCTCTTTTGAGTATTTTGATCCTTTGAAGAAAATTAGTTGAGTTAGAACGGCCCCCACATTTCCACCACCTCCAGTCATACCTGATATCAGCCCCAATGACCTGAAAATAAGAATTATGAATGGAGTCAGGAAAAGAATTCTTAGAAAAAATATGCATTTTGTGGCATTAACCTCTACAAG